TGGTGCAAGAACTGAACCCTGTGGTACTCCACTTGTGACATTTCTCCATTCCGATACATTGTCTCTGATTACTGCCCTCATTTTTCTATCAGTCAGAAAATTTTTCATCCATGTTAGAAGCGTACCTGTCACTCCTCCAATATTTTCCAGTTTCCAGAACAACCTCTTATGTGGAACTCTGTCAACAACTTATATGTGAACTCTGTGTGTGTGTGTGTGTGTGTGTGTGTGTGTGTGTGTGTGTGTGTGTGTGTGTGTACTCACCTATTTGTACTCGCCTATTTGTTCCTGCAGAATTGAGCATTGATTCTTGGATTCCGCCTTCCGAGCCATCGGTTGTTTACAGCAATGACTCTGGTTCTATTTCCCTATCATACCTAGTTGTAAAATTATGAATAGAGTTCGATTCCACAACCTGCTCCTTAAGTGCATTCCATTTTCCCACTACTCTCACGCTAAAAGAAAACTTCCTAATATCTCTGTGACTCATCTGAGTTTCCAGCTTCCACCCATGTCCCCTCGTTCTGTTACTATTCCGTGTGAACATTTCGTCTATGTCCACTCTGTCAATCCCTCTGAGTATTTTATACGTTCCTATCATGTCCCCCCTCTCCCTTCTTCTTTCTAGTGTCGTAAGGCACAGTTCCCTCAGGCGCTCCTCATACCCCATCCCTCGTAGCTCTGGGACGAGTCTCGTTGCAAACCTCAGAACCTTTTCCAGTTTCATTATATGCTTTTTCAGATGGGGACTCCATGATGAGGCGGCATACTCTAAGACTGGCCTCACGTAGGCAGTGTAAAGCGCCCTAAATGCCTCCTTACTTAGGTTTCTGAATGATGTTCTAAGTTTTGCCAGTGTAGAGTACGCTGCTGTCGTTATCCTATTTATATGTGCCTCAGGAGATAGATTAGGTGTTACGTCCACACCCAGGTCTCTTTCGCGCGTCGTCACAGGTAGGCTGTTCCCCTTCTGTCCCTTTGGTCTCCTATCTCCTAGTCCCATTTCCATAACTTTACATTTGCTCGTGTTGAATTCCAGTAGCCATTTCTCTGACCATCTCTGCAACCTGTTCAGGTCCTCTTGGAGGATCCTGCAATCCTCATCTGTCACAACTCTTCTCATCAACTTTGCGTCATCCGCAAACATCGACATGTAGGACTCTACGCCTGTAAACATGTCGTTAACATATACAAGAAATAGAATTGGTCCCAGCACCGATCCTTGTGGTACTCCACTTGTTACTGTTCGCCAGTCCGACTTCTCGCCCCTTACCGTAACTCTTTGGCTCCTTCCTGTTAGGAAGTGTGTGTGTGTGTGTGTGTGTGTGTGTGTGTGTGTGTGTGTGTGTGTGTGTGTGTGTGTGTGTGTGTGTGTGTGTGTGTATACAATATCTTGTATAATATTTTTCCTTGTGTGTGGGGAAGGTGTGAGGGAAGAGAGGTGGTGAAGGCCCAGCGTGTCTGGACACTTCTGGGAAGGCTGCCCCCGCCCCCCCCCCGGGGGTGTTATATTCCAGTGCCATCTGCACCTGACTCTTTGTCACAGTCTCAGTAATTCAGACGCCCTGAGACACCCCCCCCTCATCCTCTCTTCCCTCAGGCCTGCCATGGTGCCCACAGTGCCACTTACTGAACCTGCACCACCACCACCACCACCACCACCATCACCACCACCACCACCACCACCACCACCATCACCACCACCACCCACACCACCACCACCACCACCACCACCACCACCACCACCCACACCACCACCATCACCACCACCATCACCACCACCACCACCACCACCACCACCACCACCCACACCACCACCATCACCACCACAGCTTGGGCACTCTTGTGTTCCCTTGACAACTCCACATATTAACAAAAACTTGTTAGACCCGGATGTTGGCGCTAACTTTATCTGACACAGTAGGAAAACTTTCGATATCTTTCTTTACCTGTCGTTATCTACCTCACTTTCCGGGTAATTACCTGCTTCTTTGGAGGTCCATCTGGCTGTTGTGGGGGACCCCTAGCATGCTATTATACCGACGTTAGCTGTAGTCACCTAGTTGTACTTGCGGGGGGGTTGTGCTCTGGCTCTTTGGTCCCGCCTCTCAACTGTCAATCAACTGGTGTACAGGTTCCTGAGCCTACTGGGCTCTATCATGTCTACACTTGAAACTGTGTATGGAGTCAGCCTCCACCACATCACTGTCTAATGCATTCCACCTGTTAACTACTCTGACACTGAAAAAGTTCTTTCTAATGACTCTGTGGCTCATCTGGGTTTCATCAAGGGAACACAGTTTCCACCTGTGTTCCCTTGTTCGTGTCCCACCCGTGCTGAAGAGTTTGTCTTTGTCCACCAAGTCAATTCCCCTGAGAATTTTGTAGGTGGTTATCATGTTTCCCCTTACTCTTCTGTTTTCCAGGGACATGAAGGTCCGCTCCTTTATCCTTTCCTCGTAGCTCATACCTCTCAGTTCCGGGACGAATCTTGTGGCATACCTCCGAATCTTCTCTAACTTTGTCTTGTGTTTAACTAGGTATGGACTCCAGGCTGGAGCTGCATACTCCAGGATTGGTCTGACATAAGTGGTATACAGGGTCCTGAACGAGTCCTTACACAAGTTTCTAAAGACAGTTCTTATGTTGGCCAACCTAGCATATGCCGCTGATGATATCCATTTGATGTAAGCTTTTGGGGACAGGTTCGGTGTAATATCAACCCCCCTGATTTTCTCTCTTTGACTCTTGCAGGATTTCACCTCCCAGATGGTACCTTGTGTTCAGCCTTCTGCTCCCTTCGCCTTATTTTATTACTTTACACTTTCCTGAGTTGAACTTTAGCAGCCATTTTCTAGACCATTCCACCAATTTGTCCAAGTCGTTCTGTAGTCTCTGTCTATCTCCATCTGTCTTGATTTTTCTCACAATTTTTGCATCATCAGCAAACATTGAGAGGAATGAGTCTCTAACCTCTGGAAGATCTTTTACATATATTAGAAACAGGATGGGTCCAAGTACAGAGCCCTGTGGGACTCCGCTGGGAGTCTCTGTGGGGACCCTAACATACAAATGTCGTCGTCAGCTGCTGTATTAGGATGGGTAATATTTAGCACACTATGACGCTGTGAAAACAGTTTCGTGAGAATATATCTTTATTTTAAGGTATATCTTAGTGTTGTGGACGTGAAGAGCGCCAAGCCTTGAGAATAACGCAGATGAACTCTACTGATGACCAGATTTTATTAGTAGTAGACTGTCTGGTAGTGCAGGCTTTGTCAGGCTTGATAAAAGCCTTGCAGGTAACACGCTATTACATTATACACTCATCTTGGGGCTCCTTACCTTGCCTTGCAAAGGTTCCGGGGATCAACGTCTCCGCGATCCGGTCCTCAACCAGGCCTCCTCATGCTAGACTGGTCAATCAGACTGTTGGACGCGGCTGCTCACAGCCTGACGTATGAATCACAGCCTGGATGATCAGGTATCCTTTGGAGGTGTTTATCAAGTTCTCTCTTGAACACTGTGAGGGGTCGGCCAGTTATGCCCCTTATGTGTAGCGGAAGCGTGTTGAACAGTCTCGGGCCTCTGATGTTGATAGAGTTCTCTCTCAGAGTACCTGTTGCACCTCTGCTTTTCATCGGGGGTATTCTGCACATCCTGCCATACCTCCTGGTCCCATGTGGTGTTATTTCTGTGTGCAGGTTTGGGACCAGCCCCTCTAATATTTTCCACGTGTAAATTATTATGTATCTCTCCCGCCTGCGCTCAAGAGAATACAGATTTAGGCTCTTTAGTCGGTCCCAATAGTTTAGATGCTTTACTGAGTGGATTCTAGCAGTAAAGGTTCTTTGCACGCTCTCCAGGTCAGCAATTTCTCCAGCTCTGAAAGGGTCCGTCATTGTGCAGCAGTACTCCACTCTAGAGAACACTAGCGTCTTGAAGAGTATCATCATTGGTATAGCATCTCTAGTTTGAAAGATGCTTGTTATCCAACCAGTCACTATTCTTACAGTTGTGACGGCTACTTTATTGTGTTCTTTAAAGGTCTTCCGACATGAGTACACCCAAATACTTTACATTTCGTTTTCGTTCTGTTATTATTTGACTGTGATTTGTACTTCTGTTATATATTTTAATTTTTTCCGTAGCGCAGAAGCCGAACCTTATCTTCATTAAACACCATATTATTTTCTGTAGCCCATAGAAAGACCTGACTGACATCTGACTGGAGGTTTGCCGTGTCCTCTGTTGTCTACTCTCATAAAGATCCTAGTGTCATCTGTAAAGGATGATACAGTACTATAGTTTGTGTCCTTGTCTATGTCCGATATGAGGATGAGAAAAAGTACTGGAGCAAGCACAGTACCCTGGGGGACTGTACTGGAGCAAGCACAGTACCCTGGGGGACTGTACTGGAGCAAGCACAGTACCCTGGGGGACTGTACTGGAGCAAGCACAGTACCCTGGGGGACAGTACTGGAGCAAGCACAGTACCCTGGGGGACTGTACTGGAGCAAGCACAGTACCCTGGGGGACTGTACTGGAGCAAGCACAGTACCCTGGGGGACTGTACTGGAGCAAGCACAGTACCCTGGGGGACTGTACTGGAGCAAGCACAGTACCCTGGGGGACTGTACTGGAGCAAGCACAGTACCCTGGGGGACTGAGCTCTTCACGGTTGATGGTCCGGATACTACTTTGTTGACTATTACACATTGGGTTCTGTTAGGAAATTTTAGATCCATCTTTCTATTTTTCCGGTGATTTCTTTTGAGCGCATTTTGTGCGCAATAACACGATGGGTCGCATTTGTTGAAGGCGCGTGTCTACTATTACACTATACACTTATTACACTATACACTCATCTTGGGGCTTCTCTGCATTACAATATATCTTTGCTTCAGTTAAATGCGCCAAGAGATCAGAAATGTGCAACAAGGGTGGAGCAAGTAGTGAGTTGAAGCGACCTTGTGTGGACGTGTTGGTGACCATCTTAACTGACCAATGGGGCTCTCCTCTTCCTGGCTCCGCCCACACCGCCCGTCGGGGTATAAAAGGGTCGGTCAGGAATTAGTCAGCACACAGCTTGAGTTGCATCAGGTAAGGTAGGTTACCTCTGCTGGCTTGTCCATCTGTGTCTCTTGTGTGGTGGTCTTGGTGTATGGCCAGTCTTGGTGTATGGCCAGTCTTGGTGTATGGCCAGTCTTGGTGTATGGTCAGTCTTGGTGTATGGCCAGTCTTGGTGTATGGTCAGTCTTGGTGTATGGCCAGTCTTGGTGTATGGCCAGTCTTGGTGTATGGCCAGTCTTGGTGTATGGCCAGTCTTGGTGTATGGCCAGTCTTGGTGTATGGCCAGTCTTGGTGTATGGCCAGTCTTGGTGTATGGCCAGTCTTGGTGTATGGCCAGTCTTGGTGTATGGCCAGTCTTGGTGTATGGCCAGTCTTGGTGTATGGCCAGTCTTGGTGTATGGCCAGTCTTGGTGTATGGCCAGTCTTGGTGTATGGCCAGTCTTGGTGTATGGCCAGTCTTGGTGTATGGCCAGTCTTGGTGTATGGCCAGTCTTGGTGTATGGCCAGTCTTGGTGTATGGCCAGTCTTGGTGTATGGCCAGTCTTGGTGTATGGCCAGTCTTGGTGTATGGCCACAGTCTGTCACCGTCCTGGTGTATGGCCACAGTCTGTCACCACCAATACAATTACTTGTACCTTAAAAGACGCTTCGGAAGTGATTCACGATGTTAATAATTTTGGCTTTCTGTACAGAGGTTCCTTGTCACAGCCGGGAAGATGAAGACTGTGTTGGTGCTCGTGGCTGGCCTGAGCCTCCTGCTGGTGGCCACGGAGGCCGCTCCTGCAGTAAGTCCACTCCCTGTGTGTACGGTGTCTTCACGTGTATATATCACAATATCATTATTTCACCTCCCGCTATTCGCCCCTGTATAACCTAGGCCTATATAGTTATAGGCCTAGAGTGTAACAAGAGACGCGATAATGTACACAGAGGGGAAACAGACATACCCCGTCCTGACCGTTATCTCTCGCCACATACAGTCTGGCGCCGTGGAGCTGTTCTCCTCCCTGCCGGAGTCACGGGTGGAGAGATCTGCTCTCGGAAGATGCTGCCCCTGCCCGGAGATCATCCGCACCACCATCATCATCATCGAGACCACCAGATACCCAACTCGAAGTGGCGCCGGCGGCTTCGGCGGCTCGCGCCAGTGCTGCCCCTGTAGGCCCCACGGATAACACCGTGCGATGTATACAGCTTCTCCCTCATCTGCCTTCATGGTCTCTCCATACATGGGCCAGAGACGTTGTCGTGTTCCCGTAATACTGACATGGGGGTGGAGTATAGTTAGGTTATCCTCAGATAATAATAATAATAATAATTTTTATTTAGGTAAGGTACATACATACAAGAGATTTTACAAAGTTTGTTGGATTAATAGATAGAGCTGGTACATACAATGCCTATCTGTCTACAAAGATGAGGCACCCTGTGCCTCATACGTCTACAAGCACCCATACGTCTACAAGATGAGGGAACCATGGGTATCAATATCCAGAAATAGTCAGTAAGTTCTTATTGCTTGTACAGTTACTGGTACCTGTTACCACCTTGTAGCCAGCATCTGTGCTGACCTAGACAGTGCCTCTTACAGCTCTAGTCTCAGTACTTACGGACTTTATTTGTGAATAAAAGAAATGTAACCCTTGCATTTTGTTTTTCTGCCACATAGAAGCTCTAATATATTTAACCTAACATGGCGGTATGTGGTACAGATGATACCATGGTGGTATGTACCTCACAGGGTACCATGAGGGGGTACCATGGTGATATGTACCTCACAGGGTACCATGAGGGGGTACCATGGTGATATGTACCTCACAGGGTACCATGAGGGGGTACCATGGTGATATGTACCTCACAGGGTACCATGAGGGGGTACCATGGTGATATGTATATAAACACATATATATATGTAGAGCCCTTACACGTTGTTCTAACTGGCATAAAATCCTCAAGGAACTGTAGAGAAGCCTTCAAGTAATAGTAAACAACAGGTACACGAATAGAGACGTCAACGCCCATATCAGAGTAATAGTAAACAACAGCTACACGAATAGAGACGTCAACGCCCATATCAGAGTAATAGTAAACAACAGCTACACTAATAGAGACGTCAACGCCCATATCAGAGTAATAGTAAACAACAGCTACACTAATAGAGACGTCAACGCCCATATCAGAGTAATAGTAAACAACAGCTACACTAATAGAGACGTCAACGCCCATATCAGAGTAATAGTAAACAACAGCTACACTAATAGAGACGTCAACGCCCATATCAGAGTAATAGTAAACAACACGTACACGAATAGAGACGTCAACGCCCATATCAGAAGCTATTTAGACAAATGGTATAACAGAGAACAACAAACAACCCATCTCACCACCGCCCACGGGATGGGTATGGGGTGCATAATAAAGAAAGAAATTGAATCATAGAAACTCTATAAAAATTCACTATGAGCTTTACAGTTTAAAACAGAAGATAGAATAGTTAAAAATATAGTTTCAAATGGAGTGAAACCGACAACTCCCAGACCCAAAATTGGACTTAATTATCTACTTATCAACCAAAAGGACTGCTGGTTTACTATTTAAGAACAGCCCCAATAAAGAATATATCGCTCTCCAGACACCAACTGTGGTATACCAGTTTACACGCCCCAGTGAAGGATGTCTCCGTCGCTCTCCCTATATCGGTATGATCACCACAAGGCTTTCGAGAAGACTGACCTGCCATCTAGAGGCTGCATGGCGCTCCTAGACACCACAGGCAAAGTCAACACAACACAACACTCACCAGCAATATGATAGTGAATACTAAAACGCTCGACTCTACTACTGAGTAAAGATTACAAATCCTGGAAGCCATATATATATATATATATATATATATATATATATATATATATATATATATATATATATATATATATATATATAAAACGACCTACTGTGATTATACAGAATAATGACTTCACTTCCTTGCCGACACTCAGACCCAGACCTCGCTTCCTTGCCAACACTCAGACCCAGACCTGGCTTCCTTGCCAACACTCAGACCCAGACCTCGCTTCCTTGCCGACACTCAGACCCAGACCTCGCTTCCTTGCCGACACTCAGACCCAGACCTGGCTTCCTTGCCAACACTCAGACCCAGACCTGGCTTCCTTGCCAACACTCAGACCCAGACCTCGCTTCCTTGCCGACACTCAGACCCAGACCTCACTTCCTTGCCGACACTCAGACCCAGACCTGGCTTCCTTGCCGACACTCAGACCCAGACCTCACTTCCTTGCCGACACTCAGACCCAGACCTGGCTTCCTTGCCAACACTCAGACCCAGACCTGGCTTCCTTGCCGACACTCAGACCCAGACCTCACTTCCTTGCCGACACTCAGACCCAGACCTGGCTTCCTTGCCGACACTCAGACCCAGACCTCACTTCCTTGCCGACACTCAGACCCAGACCTCACTTCCTTGCCAACACTCAGACCCAGACCTCACTTCCTTGCCAACACTCAGACCCAGACCTCACTTCCTTGCCAACACTCAGACCCAGACCTCACGTCCTTGCCAACACTCAGACCCAGACCTCACCTTCGTGTCCTTGCCAACACTCAGACCCAGACCTCACCTTCGCCTCCTTGCCAACACTCAGACCCAGACCTCACCTCCTTGCCAACACTCAGACCCAGACCTCACCTCCTTGCCAACACTCAGACCCAGACCTCACCTTCGTGTCCTTGCCAACACTCAGACCCAGACCTCACCTTCACGTCCTTGCCAACACTCAGACCCAGACCTCACCTTCGTGTCCTTGCCGACACTCAGACCCAGACCTCACCTTCGTGTCCTTGCCGACACTCAGACCCAGACCTCACCTTCGCCTCCTTGCCAACACTCAGACCCAGACCTCACCTTCGCCTCCTTGCCAACACTCAGACCCAGACCTCACCTTCGTGTCCTTGCCAACACTCAGACCCAGACCTCACCTTCGTGTCCTTGCCAACACTCAGACCCAGACCTCACCTCCTTGCCGACACTCAGACCCAGACCTCACCTTCGTGTCCTTGCCGACACTCAGACCCAGACCTCACCTTCGCCTCCTTGCCAACACTCAGACCCAGACCTCACTTCCTTGCCGACACTCAGACCCAGACCTCACTTCCTTGCCGACACTCAGACCCAGACCTCACTTCCTTGCCAACACTCAGACCCAGACCTCACTTCCTTGCCAACACTCAGACCCAGACCTCACATCCTTGCCAACACTCAGACCCAGACCTCACCTCCTTGCCAACACTCAGACCCAGACCTCACCTCCTTGCCAACACTCAGACCCAGACCTCACCTCCTTGCCAACACTCAGACCCAGACCTCACTTCCTTGCCAACACTCAGACCCAGACCTGGCTTCCTTGCCGACACTCAGACCCAGACCTCACTTCCTTGCCAACACTCAGACCCAGACCTCACTTCCTTGCCAACACTCAGACCCAGACCTCACTTCCTTGCCAACACTCAGACCCAGACCTCACTTCCTTGCCAACACTCAGACCCAGACCTCACTTCCTTGCCGACACTCAGACCCAGACCTCACTTCCTTGCCGACACTCAGACCCAGACCTCACTTCCTTGCCAACACTCAGACCCAGACCTCACTTCCTTGCCAACACTCAGACCCAGACCTCACTTCCTTGCCAACACTCAGACCCAGACCTCGCCCGACACCGCCAGACATTGACATCTCTGCCGAGGTCTCTCTCCGCTCTCTGCCCACCACAGTATACCCCAATGTTTGACTGCTCCTGTTCTCTTACCTTATCCCTGTTATTGACTCTATGTTTGATGGCTCCCCCTCCCCCATACTCCTTTGACCCCCATCACCTCAGTCCATACTGAAGTGATGGGGTTCATACCATAAAGAAATTAACACACGATGGATAATGTGAAAATTTGCATCAACGAACGAAAAAATTAAACAAGAAATGACTTGAGCGCTTTTGTGTTAATCAATATAATATCCAGAGAGGAGTCACTGAGAGACCGGCAAGAATGTCAGCTGTAAAACTCACACTTTTCGTAATATTGTGTTCTTGAACATAAGAACAAGAGGTAATTGGTGAAGACCTAATGACCAATACATGTGAGTTTCTGGAACCTCTATATTTAATGAGATATCTGTGTATTAATCATCGTATTAATCGTAATTAATCCCCACAGACTCAGACACATGTTACCACATATCTTACAGGTAGTTATCCAAATTCTCTTCTCCTTTCACCAGTCAGCCCGACAGACGTTGTGACCATCATACACTCACTAAAAACCAAAGCTGGGAACATTAGTGAAATACCATCCATGGTATACAAGAGTGCCTCCCATGCCCTTGCGCCACCATTAGCTCTGTTGTTCAACAAATCTCTAGAGTGTCACACCTTTCATTATATCCTTAAAAAAGCAAGAGTAACGCCATTTCATAAAGGAGGCAATACGGCAGACGTAAACAATTACAGACCAATATCACATCTACCTATATTATCAAAAATATTTTAAAACAATTATTTACAAACAGCTCTCATGCCTCAACATACTAAATCCCTGTCAGTTTGGCTTCTGCTCCAAAAGAGTAACAATGATGCAATTACTAGTCTGCTTGACATAATCTACTCAGCCCTTGACTAAAATGAGTTCCCGATTGGACTCTTCATTGACCCGAGAAAGGCCTTTGATACTGTTAACGGTAACTACCTCTTACTCCAACATTATGGAATCCGAGGCCTTGCCCTGAACTATATCCGAACCTATCTTAGTGACAGACACCAATATAAATAAATAAATAAATATGTTTATTCAGGTAATGTACATACATAAAGTGATTTTACATAAATGGATCGATTTATAGATAGAGCTTAGTACATATAATGCCTAAAGCCACTATTACGCAATGCGTTTCGGGCAGGAAGTCATATGTAGCCATCAATGATATAACCTCTCCCCCTCTACCATTAACCGTAGGGGGTGCCACAGGGCAGCATCAGATGACCTCTCATATTTCTTATGTACATCAATGATCTGCCTAATGTCTCTAACATGCTTAAACCTATATTGTTTGCTGATGATACTACCCTCATCTACTCTGACCCCAACCCACTCATATTAAATAATGTTGTAAACAATGAATTAAAAAAAGTCCACTTATGGATGTCAACCAACAAACTAACACTTAACGTAGAAAAGACCTACTAAATCTTATTTGGAAGCAAATCAACTGATGCAATTCAGCATTAGATAGACAATGTTAACATCAGCAATAAAAATGCTGGAAAGTTCCTTGGCATATACGTAGACAAGAGACTGAACTTCAGCACCCACATACAACACATAACCAAGAAAGTCTCAAAAAAGGTTGATATACTCTGTAAATTCTGATATTAAGTTCCCCACTCTGCTCTCCTCTCACTATACTACGCGCTAATCTATCCCTATCTTACATATGGTATCTGTGCATGGGGCTCAACCTCTGCAAACTACCTCAAGCCCATCATCACCCAGCACAAATCTGCTATCAGAACAATAACAAACTCTGCGTTCAGACAACACTCAGCCCCCCCCCCCCTCTTTAAATCCCTAAACATGCTA